ATCAAACAATAACTTCTGGAATAAATCAGGAGGATACTTCACACCCTTAATTCAAACGCAAAACGTCATTGGCCAGCTGACGTGAGGAGCCAAAAGATATACTAAGCAGATAATGGGACGGCCTGCTCAACTAGGTATGTCAGTGACTAGCAGTCACAAGAAAAAAACAAAACATTCAGATAAAGCTTACAAAAACATACAGAAACACATGCATGCTTTTTTACAGACATTATATTTGTACAGTACTCTCATTGTAACAGATTATGTAAGTTTCAGTGTACATATTTACAATGAGGTATATACATACAAACATGAAAATTTGAATACTATTCATATCATTTTCACACAGTTTATTTGGAGATAAGACGAGGGTGCGAACATGATTTATTTTTCGCCTCTCAAAAACTCTTGCATCCAATACCAACAGTACAACATAAGGATATAAAACTCAAAGTGTGATTTATCTTTATTCAGTAAAAATGTTGCTTGTTTGTTTTGCTTAAAGCAAATATAAAAATAGTATCATTATATATCTATTTATATGAAGCAACAACGATCAGTAACTGACACCAACGCATTACTCTTAAGAGGTGAAGCGAACCCTTACATCATAGCAGGTATTTCTCAACGTGTACAAAGATAGATAGATTATCACACACTTTCAATTCATCTTGGACACAGTCATGCCAGCTATAAGAACCATCCCACCTCCACATAACCCCCCCCCCCCAGGAAAAAGTAAGAAATCCCCAAGGTCACATATGACAATGACACCGTACTATAAATTATTTCTAATTCTTTGGTAACAATGATTAACAAATTTCTTTTGAGCCCCCCCACCAAAAAAAAAGAAAGAAAAAAATTACTCACAGATGTTTCTGGGCTCTTCAAATTTGACCACTTTTCTTACAGAAATTTTGAGTAAAGTTTGTGGAGGCTACTTAAATTTAACGCTGAAAGATTGTAACAAGTGCACAGACCGAAGGGCTAGAACCCAAATGGCCGCTGGATCGGAAAAGTAACAAGTGCAAGTTTTGACGAGAAACAAAACGTTAAATCCTCTGACAATAAGGAAGCTCACTTGTCATGACACCAGCAGTGAAACTAAAAAACTACCCACCCTTCAGACACCAAATTTTCGTGTATAGCTCTCAAAAATAATATCTGATGAGGTTTTTTGCTGCTTGCTTGTACTGATATGCAAAATCAACATGGCAGATGGAATAGGTCTATGACATATCTATAAGTGATCTTGTATATAATATGTGCTCGTTATAATTTAGTCTGTTTTCAACTAACTTGTAGAATTTTGCTGGAGGAGAATTTTCCTAAAGGGTGACTAAATTCATCTCGCTTACTTCTTTCAAAAAAATGAAAAGAAAAAAAAAGAAGAAGAAAGCAAAACAAGTCAGTCCTTTGATTCTACGACAGGACAAAAATGAAAACAGAAAAATCATTTCATTTGCGAAATGTCAAACAAGTTTTAATGCTCTTACAAATAAACATCTCACACAAGAACGAACAAGAGCCAGCAAATAGAACTAAGAAATACAGTATATTTACATAACAACCATTTGCACATGTCTGAGACTATATAGCTCCACAACCAGGGCTGGAAGAAGAAAATAGAATTAAAATAAAAGTTCACTCACATCTTCACTGCGCTTACTGGCAGCAGAGGTCATTCACATACATATATATGTAAAGAAATACAAAATTAATATAATTATAAGAGATTACTCAAAGGACAATCTTCTAATCAAATGTCTTTATTAAAACCAGGCCCATTGTGTCCCCACCCCCAAACCTCCTCATGAAAGACCAAGTGTGCTTGTATGCAGAACATAAAGGTATTGTTTTGTGTACAGTGTAAAGGAAGAACAAACAGGGGGAGGGGGGAAACGTCATCTATAAGAGGGACCAATTCCTGATTTTTTAAAAGAGAGAGAGAGAGAGAGAGAGAGAGAGAGAGAGAGAGAGAGAGAGAGAGAGAGAGAGAGAGAGAGAGAGAGAGAGAGAGAGGAGAAAACTCAATAAATAAATACTGCAAGCTGCACAAAATTCCATCAGTAGTAGAAAAAAGAAATTTTAAAAAAATAATTTTAAAAAATACCAAGGTAAACAATTGAACTTTTCCCTTACTTTGTTCACTGACAGAGAAATTGATCATAATCCTGAGGTTAGCTCCCTCCAAACGGCAAAAGGTACTGATACATGCACACATGAAATTTACATGACTCTCCACCTTCCGTTAATGACTAGAAGTTCGGTTGAGTATAGCTAAGGGGTTGATTTTTATCCTCCTCCCCCACCCCCAAGTGAAAAGAAGTTCATGAGTGATGACACCTCCCCCCACCCCCCACCACAGGTACCCCTTTCATGCAGGGAATTTCCATTAAACACAAATTTTTAGAGCAGTTAGAAAAGGCTGAAGACAATCAACTGGAAAAGGACGAAAAGTCCACATGTACCTGTAGGACCTTATCTTAAAAACATGGGAGCGCGTGGCCAAGTAGCCTAAGGAGTGTCCAGCCATTGTCCTAGAACATTCCCTTCGGGCACTTGGCATATATATATGAAACAGACCAAAAACAAATTAGTTACTAGCTATCCGTTGAAAATTTTGTTTGTCTAGCTTTTCCCTTCCTCTCTGTTCCAAACTTTTCTTCTCCTAACCCATCTGAAGCACTGAGTGTTCACAAATTTTTTAGGCTCTCCTGTCGCTCGACCTTCACCCCGCACCTCGATGCAAAGCAGATCTTCATGAAGGCGAAGCGTATGGTCCCCAGATCAGAACATTGACAAGGGAGAGGAAAAACAGAGAGGGATTTAAAAAATAATACCGGACCCACTCAAAGTAAGTTCCAAGAGTCAATCAAAGATGCGACTCACTATGCCAAGCCAGCAGAAAATTACAGCAAAAATTCTACTGCTTTCAAAGCCTTTTTAAAGTAATTTTGGTCATAATATTCTAATCACTTTTCTGAAGTATCCTGACATCTCAGGCATAAATCTCTTGTTTACCATGCCTATCTCCCCCCCCCCCCCCCCAAAAAAAAATAAAAAATGTCTTTTTCCATGAGCCAGCAAAATATACAGTGAACAAACAAAATCAACATAGCAGCAACAAAGGTCCCACAGCACCAATAAAATAAGTATCTTTTTAGGAACTTAAACAGAAATTTCTAATTTTGAAAGTCGAGGCAACCATTTGCCAAATCGTACAAATCAAAAGGCCCAACACAAAACTGTAACAAGAAAATTCTCTTTAAAGCTACATCAAAACAATTGCTTCCTTGCAGGATGTCCATGCCTTTTGCAAAATCAGAGGCAACAAAAGATTGAAGGGAAACAAGTTTGAAAGGAAAGAAAGAGCAATCCACTTGGACACAGCACCGACCAACCACCCACCTAAATGAGACTCGTTCTCAAACACCAGGACACCATCAGACCTCATAGACAGTAACTTTATCCGTGTGGCTTTTATAAAGGTGACATGATTCTCTGGCATAAACGATTAGTGTCTTAGAGAGGTCACTTTGTTCTGGGCATACTAGTAGCGAAAAAGTGCAAGAAGTTGTCCTTGGAACATCCCAGGCCCACGACACTCCCCATTATTTCACAACAAGATCAACATCTTCCATAAATCTGATTCATTACATTTTGTTTAAAGGCAAAAATATATATCACATGTAACTCAATCAACATGTACTCCTTTCTTCCACCTGTGTGAGAATTCAATGAACAGATTCATTTAGTTTTTCAAACATAACGTAGTTCTAGCACTGTGAACTTCTGTATATTTTCAGTACACCTGTTTCCTTGAGTAAAGAGAAGAAAAGCTCAAGGGTCTGTCAAGGACCTAGCCGGGTTGCCGTACACAGGGCTCTAATCAGCTGGCAAAGCTCAAAACTTAATAGGAATAGACACAATAATGGTCATTTATTGATGGGAAAAAGTAAGACAGACAGACAGAATCAACAGAGGGGAAAGTAAAGAAGTAGGACCTACCAGTGGTGCCCTCCAACCACCCGCCATTTCATCTGTGCCGGACTACAGAAACAATTTGATCATATTTACAACACCTTAAATTTTTAAGTCACTGGGTTTTCATTACTCCTGGGGTATGTTTCTTTAACATTACTTTTTAAGTGTGCCCTTACACAGAGAGACAAACAAAACCAAAGAGGATAAAAGATGATTTTGATATCAGCTTTTCTCAACAAAGTTACAGCAAACAAAGAAAAATCATTACAAAACGACAACAACAAAAGTAAAAAGTAGTTACACAGTCACTAAAGTAAAAGACCCCCCCCCCCAAAAAAAAACAACCCCAAAACAACAACAACAAAAAAACAAACAAAAACAACTTCGACTGGTAACTATAGCTTCAATGGAAGAAAGGAAGTTATATATATAGATATACAGCTAACCCATAATCAGATCATTGCAAGCCATATTCCACATCTCTCAATCTTTTCTCAAAAGAACATACATAAGGATCCCAACTTCCCCTGACCATAGAGAATTGCAGTAAACTCACCCTCCTGTCAAAAACTGCTTTAAACAAACAACTTTTCTGGGCACCCTTGGCAGAGACTGGCAGCCTATTGCATCCCTTCCTAGCAATATGTGTTTTATATCCTCTCTCTCCAGTTACTTACTTTACTTGCCCTTCACAGAAGCACCTTACCCCTCATCCCATGACTAAAAAAAAACGACTACTCTTCTCAGGTGAGTTTTTGCAAATTTCCAAAGCTGAGATTCACTCCCGAAAATTATGACACTTGGAAGAAAAAAAACCCAATGAGAAATTTAGAACTTTTTATGAAGTTACATATTTGATAGCAAGTAAAAGTCATTTGCAACTTTTTTCATAAAGAAAAAGGTATCCCCAGCCCCTTTAAAATATTTCCAGCCACAGCTATAGACAGTAACGATCTTATTAATGTAATGGCATTTCATTTGTTCTTATGCTGTTAAGTTTTGGAAACTAATTGTTCTTTTTTTCCACTATCCAAATGCCTTTCACTACAAGTGTTCCTGTAGCTCCTATCTATTCCCTTTATCTTTTATCATTCATTCAGTCACAGACTTCTACTATAAACAAAAATGACATCCCCCAAAACTGCAAAAGTTAGAAGATATTTCAAATTTCAAATATTTTGTGATTTAAAAAAAAACTCATACCAACCAATGCTATTTAATCTATCACATAAACTAAACAGGACCCTTTTTCACTCTCAACTTCCATAGTGCACTGGCTCACAAACAAACAGCATGGCACATACAGTAATGGCATCATATACAGATAATATATTCATCATGGAAAAGATCCCTTTAAATCTCAAGAATCCTTTGTAAATGTAACATTATCTTACTTGCAATACATGATATCAGTTCAAACTGAAATCAAATCATACCACCCACATACACGCTACTACCCGAGTCGACTGCAATACACACGAACCTGGCAAAAAGGGAGAAACTCTTGTGAAGCTTCTACTCTCCTCAATACAAGTCCGACTAGCTGAGATTGCTTCTATAAGACCTTTCTCGGATAATTAAGTTGCACAATGGATGGCGGTTAAAACTTGTACACAGAGAGAACACATTGTTTCAAATTATCCTTACATAAAAAGAAATCTGGAGTTAGGAGCAGCTTTTCTTCCTGTTGAATGGATTGAAAGACTTGACATATAATAGTTCCTTTCCCTTGGCACTGTTAAGAACTAACCACACAAGCATGAACATGAAAGTCCACACATATCCACAAACAGGCATTAAAGTACCATTTCAAAATAGGTTTCTTCACAACAGACAAAAGTACTGGATGCCAAGTGAAGAAATCTTATGTACAGTAACCTTTTATGTAAACACGCTCATAACAACTTTCATTTCAAAGTCTTCTAAAAAGTCCTTAGAACAGAATAGAGAAAGAAAAAAAAAAGTGTAGAAACGGTCCAAGCCTAGCTCACAAACGAGACTTATTCTCTTTCTCTGTTACACGAACACACACAGGTGAATTAATTCTCAGACAAGTTAACCCATTTCTGACACATGAGAAATTCTAAACCTAAACCTCTACAATACCCCAACTTGATCATTCAGATCTGCTGATGTTTGTTTTTTAACATTTAGATCTTGAAAAAAAAACAGCCACACAAAATTGAAGTTTTGGAGGTCCTCTTTAAAATTCAATGAGGCACAATTTCAACTATGTTGCAGAAAACATAAAGCCCATGGAAAAAGATATTGCCGTTTTCTAATGATTAATAATAAGATTTTTTAAAAAATTCAAAGTAAGTAAATTGATGAGTAAAAGTTATCAACCATTACAAGGTCCTAAAAGATGCCTTCATATTTTTCAGCTTTCACACAAATTACTCGTTTATTTTCTTAAATAGATCAGTGGCCTCATCAACAGTGTTAATTATTTTAAGACAGAAGACTGTTCTGTGACAGAGGAGTATCCACAGCATTATGATCTCTTTCTTTCACATAATTCCCAATTGCTCTCATCCCCGATTTGTTTTCTCTTGTCGTCAACTTACACCTCGATGTACCACTCACTGTGACCCCTCCAGCGGAAAAAGACGCAACGAGTAAACGAATTATGACAGACTTGCTAAGGGATTTTGTAAGGCGTACAGTGTTGTACCTTTAGCTTGTTTGTCACATTGGCTACCAACAATTACTCAGCGACCTGCGCCCATAGAAAATAAAATTGGTTCAGACAAGAATAAACTAGAGAACCACAAAAAGACTGACTACTGTAAGACTTACAAAGAAAAAGTGTCACATTCATTCCTTTAAACATGTGTATAACAAGCAAAAAGCGAATAAACATTCTTCCAAAATTTAAAAAAAAACCCCTCATCAAAATATCATTAAAAAAACAACTTGTAATAAATCACTATCTCTTCCATGCTAACCAGGAACCCTTAAAAGATAATCGAAATAAAAAGACCTAGATTTTGCAAAAGATCTGCCACAATCAAGAAGCTACTGGAGAATCCATGACGATATTCATGTACATGTAAGACTGGACACTCCTCTAAAAAACTGAAACTGAAACATGGCTTCATTGCAGGAGTTGAACACAAAAACTGAAGGAAAAAAAACCCAGAAAAACAGAAAGAAACTTTCCTCTCCATGTGTATGCGTGTGGCACATATATATATACCTGAAAATGAAGATGGGAGATGGCGAAAAAACAATCGCCAGCAAAAAAAAAACGAAACAAAAACAACCCCCCCAACATCACTAGAACATTCCTTTCTTTCCAAACACAGAGAAGAGAGTGAGGATCATGCTGCCTTATGACGTCCACCGCAGACACCGCACATGGTCCCGCAGTGGTGGCAGGCTTTGAGGGGAAGGTAGCACCATAAACAGGGGAAAAGCAGCGACAAGAATGTCAAGGCGGTCCAACGCTTGCATTGGTTGGGGTCGCCAGTCTCGCACGAGCACGGGTGCCGGAACTCGCCGTCCGCGTCGGCAAAGCAGTGGTACATGAGGCAGGAGGTGCACGACACGCACGACACACACTCGATGCAGCGCGCCACCGAATCGGGCGCGTCTTCGCACGAGCCTCGAGGGTTGTTGTCCACGGAGAACAGTTCCCGGCAGTTCTTGCACTGCACCTGAGGGGAGACCAGACGGGACCGGGCCCCCGACTGACCATGCAGCTTGCCCCCTTCTCCTCCTCCTCCACCGCCGCCCCCACCACCGCCAACACCCTTGCTTTTTGACTTTGGGTTTTTGATTGGTAATGGGGGGTAAGGCTGTGTCGTGTGGCATGCCGATGAGCTCAGGGCTTTCTTTGTGCTGCTGCGCTGGGCCGGCGGCTTTTGTGCGGGTTCCAAGTTGGGGTAGCTGTACTCGTGTGGCGTTCCAGCCTTGTTCTTGTTGAAAACGACGTAAGATTCCTCTTTGTACAAGTCTCTGTGCTCCCTGTCCCCGTTCCCACCACAGTCTAACAAACCCTGATCGGATTTGCCACTAATGGAGGAGGGGTCGAGCGAGGAGCGGACCCACACATCCTCCTGGCCCGAGCTAGAGTCAAAACTAGATTTGTGCGGACTGCTCTTTTCACTGATGGGTGATCCGGGCTGGCACTGGTACTGGGGGACAACGTGCTGGGGGTGATGATGATGGTGATGGTGGTGGTGGTGGGCGTGGGGATGATGGTGGTGGGGATGAGGATGATGGTGCCACAAGAGCTGCTGCTGCTGCTGTGGCTGGTGCTGGTGCACCATGACGCCACCGCCGCCATTTGTGTGAAGGTTTCGGCCCGACGTGCGCTCCGTGGAGATGTAGTGGACACGATGCAGGTGGTTGTGGGGGTGGGTGAAGCTGAACGGATCGTTGTTGTTAAGTGGTGATTGTGGTGAGTTGGTCCCAGGGCTGCTGGTAGTGGTTGACGTGGTTGATGCAGAGCGAGATGAGCTGTCCTTACGAGTCAAAGGCAATTCCATGTACTGAAAGAGCAAGAGAAAACAAACATTAACTTCAGGCTACACACTAATATTGCTATCATTGCTTTTGTCAATGTGTGGTGAATTTTACTCTATGATAACATTGCCATTGTTGGCTTAGGTGATAAGTATATAAAGGAAAAGATGGAAGGACATAAATTATTTTCACTGACACAAAAAGAGTAATGATTTATTAAGGATTTAAGGCTATTTACAAGTATAAAATACCATGAAACAGCATCAACATCTAAAAATATTACTTGATGACCTTTATAAAATGCAATAGAATTAACCTAACATGGATTCAGCATAAATATTAATTTCCTTGCCTTACTTATCTCATTACCCATTTCAACAGTCTTTAACCCTTCTCTACCCCTTCCAGTACTCTCATAACTGAACTCAGCTTTTTAAGTCCTGTTACAAATAGGAAAGACAACAAACAACAATTGATGAGGTGGAGGAGCACTCAGAAAACTATTATATCATATAATCAGTCCTTTTTTTTTCCTCCTCTCCGCCCTTCCTCATTTCCAGGTCTTGTTTCTTATTGGCACGAGTACTTTAAAACAGTGCAGATGAGTCAGCTGTCTTCACACATGATGCAAAGGGAGCTATTGACATCAAACACCAAGTGGTTCTCCTGAAAAATCCAGGTTAAGTTCTTCGAGACACATACAAACACAACAGTACAAATTACCGCAAAAATCCCTTCGTCTCCATCAACTGGTGCGATTCCATCACTCATCCCTGAAAGAAATATGAAAAGTTACACTTTAGTATGAACATAATGTTACCATTTTCCATCAGAAAAGCTTTACGTTTGGTAACCTTTTACAGTGCTAGTAATTGCATATGATCATATGAGCACGATCCAAGGCACAATTTTAAAAAGTATAGCACTTTCCTTTTCAGAGAACTGAATTGATGAGGGAAATTGCCTTCTCAGCCACATTATCAAATTTAATAATCCTGTTTATAAACACCAAGCTAATTATGAACCCTCCATTGTCAAAAAGGCCTAAAGTCATACTTCGACTGAAATGAGGTAAGATAGAAGCAGCCTTATGCCTTCCACAGAGTTCGACCAGAGGAGCTGTGCTGTACTTTATGACAAAATCAAAATCAGGAGGCCCAGATTAATTCCAAAGGAACAGAGAAAGATAACACAAACACTGATTTTTTTTAAAAGAAACACACCAACTACATTTCGCAATGAGATTATATAAGGCTTACTAGTGAAAAGTGCCAGGGCTGCCCTGGGCTGAGTGGGTCCTACCATTCCTATAAACTCCATTAAAAACTTTCCCACTAAGGAACAAAACGTATGCCTTATAATTTATTATTTTTTAAAATTGTGTTTTTAACAGCCCAACAAAAAATTTAGATAGTTTACAAAGCTTACTTCCGACCCTGCGTGTCAGTGCCAATCCAGGCTGAGAACAGGGCTGCCCACCCACCAGCATAATATATGTTTTAGTAATCAGCAAATAAAAAATTAATTATCTGGTTTAAAAATCCATAATATATGGCCATGGATCGTCTTCTTCTCAGGTGTGTCAAGGACAGGGGTTGTAGTCAAGCAAGTATAAAAGTAACGCAAACAAAGGCAGGATGAAAAAAAGAGGTCTTGACGGGCCCATCACTTGTCGAGTTATGGAAAAAAGGGCAGGATAAAGGGCTAATTATAAAAAATTTTTAAAAAGCTTTCACTGGCCTTGTCTGTCACACACAGCATAAAATGACAGGAATTTGGTAACATCTTGTCAACCTAATGTTTACTTTGCTCCTAGATTCAGCCCTTCTAAAGCCTACTTTTTTTTCAAAGGTAAAGTGGCAGTGAGCGACTACAAGGGCTCACGGCAAAGAGAATGCTATAGTCAGACACCAGCATATCACATAATGACGTAGACTGTGAGGGTCTGGTAGTTTTTCTCCCTTTATACACCGGGAAGGTAGGCAGTGAGTTGGGATTTGCCCAAATTTTATAAAATTGGAATCAGGGGTATTACGAACATATTCTCTTAAAATTGAATTAAAATTGAGACGATTCTGCCAAATTCTTAACGATGGACAGCCCTGTGAGAGGTACACAACATTCCATTCGAAAAAAAGAGAGAGATATAACATCCCAGTAGAAAGACCAAGATAATAAAAATTTTCTGCCAACTCAGGAATCACTGTTAGGTCTCCTGCATCAGTGCATGCGGTAGCGAAGTGAAGCGCCTAACCACTACACCACAGACGCCAGCAAACTCATGCCTGGTGTGTGCAATGGTAAGGAGCCTAACCATCACACCACAGAATATGCTGAAGACTGTAAAAAGAGGAACAGGAGAAGAGAAAATAAAAGTTTAAAAAAAAACACCATTCAATACCTTCTGTGAGATCTGCTACAGCGATCCGAATGCCTTGGTCGAAAGCCCGAGCATCCTCTGAGCGCTCGAAAGTAAGACCGTACCTCTTCTCGTCTGTCTTCCAGTGATGCCACTTGGGGTTGGCCTTTGTGTACTGGATATCTTTCTTCAGACGGCAGTCAAGGATAACCTGAAAAAATAGCAGTTGACACCCTGACATCAGTATTTTTATTTTGGTTGTTATATATGTCCCTTTCAAGAATTTAGAAACATAACGAGGCCAGCTGCTTCTACCCTGACTGCCAGGGCAACCCAGGCTATTTGTAATACAACATCCAAGAAGACAGACAAAGAATCTCAATTCAAAACCTCCAAAAACTCCAGAGTCGAACTCATGTCTTTAGTCTTCTGTGTTGGACAACGAAAGGCGCAAATCTGACACCAGTCAAATTGAGTGTATGGTATTAGACACTAACCTCCAACAGAAGAAAGTAACATACATAATATTTAGGGCACCCACCAATGAACGAAATACTTAGATAAAGAGAGGAATAGAAATTTACACTGCAGATTTTCATAACAACACTTCCTTTTAGTTTTAGTAAGAGTTTTACGGCACTTGTAACACAATAAGGTCATATAAGTGCCGAAGATTAGAGGTGTTACAAGAGAGTATCAAACACAAAAAAGAAGGAGGGGGAGATAAAGACGATAGATGTTTGATAGGAAAGAAGAAGCAAACCACACCAGAGCACCCGCCAACCACCCACCAACTCTTCCTACAAGCCTACCATGACTCAATATTTTGTTTAAGGAAAGTTAAGTTCAACACCAAAACGGCCATTTAGTGCAGGAGGAAAGCAAAACAGAAAGAGAAACTAAAGAAGTAGGACCTGCCCGTGGCACCCTCCAACCACCCAAGTCTATTGAGCCGCACTTAACAGCCCAATAACAGCTGCATTTCAACAGCACTTTCAGACAAACAATAAAACAGAACAAAACAGAAGCTGAAACAGCAGACACCAGACAACCAACAAGACTGTTGACATACATACAACAGGAGAGCTTTGTTTATGCTAGTTTTAGTAAAGGTTTTACGGCATTTGTAACACAAGGATGTACAACAGCTGGACAGAAAGAAGTGGACCCTTTAAGTAAAAGATCACGATCAAGACCCACCAGTGTATAGTTTGTTTGAGTAAAGAGAAGCACATTACATTACGTTAGAATGATCACTACGTGCAAGATTAAAAAGCAAGAATATATATATAAATATTGATGGACAGCATTTGTTTTAGTAAACGTTTTACGGCACTAACAACACAATTAGGTCACATAAGTGCGGAATTTTTAGATGTTACAAGAGAGTAACAAACACACAAAAAGACAAAGGATAAGATAGTTGTTTAATAGGAAAGAAGGAGCACACCACACCAGAGCACCCACTAACCACCCACAGAGAAAGACAAAAGTAGGACCCACCACTGGCAATCCCACAACACCTGTCTCACATAAACATCAGGCCGACAGATTGAGTAAAGAGTAGCTCATCAACAAAATACTGCTCTCATAGTACAGGGGGAAAAGACACAGACATACAGAAACAACAGAGGGAAAGAAAAGCAATCGGACCTACCGGGCGCATCCTCAAATCACCTACCAAGATAGACAGATCTGTCATAAACAAAAAGCTGTGGTGTAGATGGTTATTTTAGTCTTAGTTTTAGTAAGAGGGTTACAGTATCTGCGATACAAATGTCATTTACATACCAAAGATTAGAGGTGTTACTAGAGAGTAATATACACCAAAAATAAGGAGGAGAGATAAGGACGATAGATGTTTAAAAGGAAAGGAACAAGAGCAACCAAATGTGGTGTAAAATTGGGCTCTACACGTAAAAAAAAACCCCAATAACACAAAACAATGTTTGTAAGAGTAAAGAGGGGCACCTGCACACACTAAAGGATAGCACCTATTGCCCGGAATAAACCAAGACTGGCAGACAAAAATAACAGAGGGAACCAAAAAAAGTGTGAACTACTACCTGTTCAGACACAATTATGTTTGAGGAAGGGAGAGTGCATCAACCCGACGACGGTCATAAATTGCTGAGCAAGACTAAGACAGAAACAACTGAGGTAATTTGTAAAGTAGTAAATTTAAACCACCCGCAACATTTCCTTCAGTACAAAAAAACAACAAAAACCCACAGACCTGACCAACATGTGAACGTACAACAGGACAAGTTTTCTTCTGCTTTTCTTTTGCTACTTCAACGTGATGTGTACACATCTCATTACAATCACTACTTCAATATTAACGGTGTGTGTGAGTGTTTTAGTTTTAGTAAGAGTTTTACGGCACTTGCAACACATTGAGGTCATGTAAGCGCCGAAGATTAGAGGTGTTACAAGAGAGTAACAAACATAAAAAAGGAAGGGAGATAGAGACGATAGATATTTTATAGGAAAGAAAGAACAAACCACACCAGAGCACCCGCCAACCACTCACTGTGTGAGTGTGTTTGTGTTTGAGTGTGTGTGTGAGAAAAAAAGAGAGAGAGAGAGAGAGAGAGAGAGAGAGTGTGTGTGTGTGTGTGTGTGTGTGTGTGTGTGCGTGCGGCGTCCGTGTCCCCATGTCACCAAGAAGGAATTTAAAAAATATTAGGGGTGTTCACAATGTAACCAATACAACCCCGTACCAGTCATCAGAGTGGAAAAGAGAGGAGTGCCGTGTAGGCGGATGCTGCCGGTATTTTTAGTAACAACACACACGAACGAACGTGTGCGACGTGTGTAGTCTGGCAGTTCGGCAAGGCATACCAATGGCAGTGACCAGCACGGGGTTGGAGGGTTGTTGAAGAACTGAAACCACGATAAGAGACGTTTCCAGAATCGATACTCACCCTATTTTTGCTTCGTTCTTTTAAGCGTTTTTTTCCCCCCCTCTTTCAAGTTTAGCATGAATTTACTACACTCGCAACACAAAAAGGTTACAAGTGCCAAAGATTAGAGGTGCTACTACTAGAGAATAACATATAAAATCAAAACAAACAACAACAACAACAAAAAAAACAGAAGGAACAAATTTTAGTTTTAAGTAGTGAGTTTAACGGCACTCGCAACACAAGTAAAGGTTATGCAAGTGCAGAAAATTAGACGTGTTACTAAAGAACATACAAAGAACAGAAGGAAGAGAGATAAGGAAGATAGATCAAGATGTTTGGTAGGAATGAAGTGGCAAACCTGACCTGAGCACCGGCTAACAATCTTTTTTTCCCCCTTTCTTTTTAATTATGGCAGTTTTACGCCCCCATCGACACAATATAATATAATTTAGGAGGTGGTCTTTCCGACCCTGTCTGTGAGGGCCACCCGGGCGAAGAAGAGTGAGAGGGATGTATCCTAGCAGAAAGACCGAGAAACTCGATACGAATTTTCTCCCCACTCGGGAATCGAACTCGGGTCTCCTGCATGCGAGACAGCGAAACGTCCCACCGTTACACCACAGAAACCGGTCGTCAATCATCCACATGATGAGGTTTTAGGTGGGTTTTTTTGTTTTGTTTAAGTAGAGGTTTTACGGCGCTTGCAACTACATACGGTCATATGAACGCCAATGGGTGGGTGTCAACAGAGAAGTCCTTACAGGGAATAAGATTTACTCTATTCACTTCTCAAGCTTCAACAGTACAGAAGTCTGCTGACTATCAAGGCACCCCGGAAATAGCGGTTCACAAGACTTTGACAAACATACAAAAGAAGTAGAAGACGATAGTCGGGATAAGGAAAAAAAGCAGCAGTTCCCTGTTGCAGCTCAGGCACAGTTAAGAGCATGACATTGATGAATCAGCCCATTTACAATTCGACAGAGCATAAGAACATGTTAA